AAGCTGATGTGTTTACCTGCCCGTCCCGTGGGCCAGGTTATTCGGGAGACCCGAGGAGGCACCTCCTGAAAGATCAATGGGGGCGAGAGAGAAAGGAGACCAGGCTCATTAAGGAAGACAAAGTCAGTCTGAGTCGCGTCAAGGTCTCGTTTATTGACTGGGTATTGAGGCTTATAAGCAGGGCTTCAGGCAGGGAGGGGGAGCAGGGGAAACAAAAGGAGAGAAGAATGGAAAATTCCTAAGGAAGGGGTCAGGGGCGAGGTCGCTTTGATCCCGGGCCCCCTGCAGTTGACAGGCTCCAGAAAGTTTATCTAATCGCATCTCCTGCAGTTAGGCCAGGAACCTCTTATCTAGTCACATATCCTGCAGTTAGGCTAGGAACCTCTTGTCAAGGCTTGACAAAGTCCAGGACACAGCTGTCTGGAGTCGGTCTCCAACATTTACCTATTATGTTTTTATGAAAGCAGATGTGTATGTAAATGATATGCCAAATGTTCTAATGCAGTTATCTTTACAGTAGAAATATACTTTAACTTACATGGTATGGATTGGGTAAGACAGTATGACTGTCCAAAACACTCTCCCATTGCTGGAGGGCCTGAAACCACATTACAGAATGTATTTGTTAGAGCTGTGGAGAAAGTTCAGTGGTAAGATTACTCGCTGTGCAAGCGTGAATCCCTGAGTTTAGATCCCCAGCACCCACCAAAAAAGCCAGGTATGCCGTTCTCCTGTAACTCCACATCTGGCAAGGTGGGGAGATATAAGAGGATCTCTCGAGCTTTCTGGGCCTCCAGCCAGGCTAGGCAACACAGAACATCAAGCTCCAGGTTCGATGAGAAAATCTGTCTCAGGAGAATAAGGCAGAGAGTAATAGAGGACACTCTGTGACATGCATGGGCACACATTTGCATACACATACAAATTATTTATTTATTCCTCTTTTTCACTTGCAGGCACGATGACTCTTCAAAATGTACTAGTGGAATAGAAATAACCATTAGAAATACTGTCTTAGTTAGCTTTCTGTTGCTGTTGATAAAACATCTTTCAAAAGCAATTTAGGGAGGGAGAAGGTTTAGTTCATCTTACATACTACAGCTCCCAGATCACAATCCATCATGGGGAAAGTCAGCACAAGAACCTGGAGCAGAGGCCAGGAAAGAGTGCTGCTTACTGGCTTGCTTAGTTTGCTTTCTTCTACAACTCAGAGCCATCTGCCTAGGGGTGGCCCTGCCCACAGTGGGCTGGGCCCGCCCAGGTCAATCAGCAATCAAGAAAATGCTCCCACAGACAAACTCACAGGATATCTGATGGAGACAGTTCCTCAGTGGAGAGTCTCTCTTGCCAGGTAACTCTATTGGTGTCAAATTGACAACAACTGCCCAGTGCAAATATCCAAAGTACTCTTCCCAGAATATCAATGTTCAAGATTTACTCATTCAATACACAGTCCTCAAAAGTTCTGTAAGAAAGAACTTGGGGGTATAGCAGATATGATCACTCCTTAGATAATAACAATACATCGTGGCATATTAAAGACTATGAGAAGTCACAGATTAAGAAACTCTAAACACTTTTTTACCTTATTATTATTGTGTGTGTATGTATGGCGTGTGTGCCACGGTTCACACATGTGGAGGTCAGAGAACACCCGTTGAGAGTCAATTTTCACATTTGGGTGTGGGTTCTGGGGATAGGATTCAGGTTGTTTGCTCTTCCAGGCCAACACCTTTAAAATAATTCTACAGTCACTCGCCCTGCCAAGTTGAAAAGTATTAAGAAAGAATCGAAAGTGAAAGTTGCTGCGTCATAGTTTATACTCAAGGGATGTTGATTTTACCAAGTGCCCTTTTACCAAGAGTGCCCGTGCTCCCCCCACCCCATCTCTGCTCTCCCTTCTACTTCTCCTCCTTCCTCTCCCCTCCCCCCTCCTCTTTTTCTTCCTTTTCTCTTTGCAGAGAATGTTTTATTTCAAATGTTTTCCTTCCTTCCAATTTTAGGATAGTTGTAGGAAGGCACAGCCTGAGGCTTCTTCATGGCACCGGATAATCTACAGGAAGAAGATGCAAGATGGGGGTGGGAGGAGGGGAGAGAGAGGTGAGGGGTAGTGGGGTGGGTGTAAATGAGGTGACACCTGCGAAACAGAGTGAAGAAACATGGGCAGGAAGGAGGGTGACACCCCAGATTCAGAGCACTAAAAGGAATTCAGAAGAAAATGCTGCAGGATGTTCTCTCTCCTCTCCCCTCAGAGTGTGTGTGTGTGTGTGTGTGTGTGTGTGTGTGTGTGTGTGTGTGTGTGTGTGTGTGTTCTTAATTAGATGAATCCTCCAGGGAAGAAAAAAGGTGGAAATATGAGGTGAGCACTCAGTGGATTTTGCAGACATTCTGACCAGTAGAGGTGGAGTTCAGGAACCATTTCCTGACCAGGACCTCTTAGTGCTGCTCTTGAACTAACGTATTTTATAGAACAGCAGTTCTCAACCTGTGGGTTGTGACCCCATGGGGTCGCAGAGCAGATATCCTACATATCAGATATTTACACGCAATCTATAACAGTAGCAAAATTACAGTTATGAAGCAGCAATGAAATAATGTTATGGTTGGGGGGTCACCACAATATGAGGAATTATATTAAAGGGTCGAGCAGCATTAGGAAGGTTGAGAATCACTGTTCTAGAACATTCACATGGCACTAAAGTGCTATCTATTTTCCAAAATAATAGTGACTTTGAGCTGTGTTAATCAACTAGAGCAGTAAAGAATGACAAGAATTGAATTTTTTCAAAGAAAATTGGTCAGGAAATAATCAGGGACAAAAGGAGGAAGTAATAGCAGTGTTTAATACAGCTGGGTGAGGTTTTTTTCCCCTTTTATTGAAAATAGATTTTTTTCCTTGTATAATATATCCTGATTACAGTTCCCCATCGTGTCCCGTGCTCCCCCACCCCACTCAGTCCCTCTCCCCCTCCCCTTCCATCCAGATCCACTCTCTTTCTGTCTGTCATTAGAAAACAAACAGGCTTCTAAGGGATACTAAGAAAAGAAAATATAAGATAAAACAAAAATTAACACACTGAAATTGTACATTGATACACTCAGGAATCCCACACAAACACTAAACTAGAATCCGTAATACGTGTGCAGAGGACCTGGTGCAGACCAGTGCAGACCCATGCAGGCCCGGTGCATGCCGCCTCAGTCTGAGCTCATATGAGCTTTGACCATGTTGACTTAGAGGATCTTATTTTCTTGGTGTCCTCCATCCCCTCTGGCTCTTACACTCTTCCTGCCTTCTCCCCTTCCACTGGTTTCCCTCAAAGCCTGAGGGGAGGGGTTTGATGGAGACATCCCATTTAGAGCTGAGTTTTCCTGGGGCTTTCACTTTTTGTATAATGTCTGGCTGTGGGTCTTTGTGTTTGTTCCCATCTGCTGCAGGAGGAAGCTTCTCTGATGATGGCTGAGCGAGGCCCTGATTTACAAGTATAGTAAAATATCATTAGGAGTCATTTTATTACAATCTTTCTTTTTTTCTTTTTTTAGAACAGTGGTATTTGGTTTTACTCTAGATCTCTGGGCTATCTAGTCTCTGGCTCTTGGTCACCCAAGCAGGGTCAGGTATGGGTTTCACCTCGTGGAGTGGGCGGGCCTCAAGTCAGATCAAATATTGGTTGGTTACTCCCACAAACTTTGTGCCACTATTGCCCTAGCATGTCTTGCAGGCAGATCACCACTGTATATGTATATGTGTATGTGCATGTGTATATTTTAGGATGCTTCCTCTGTATCCGGTTTCCCTATTACTTCCCAAATGGCAGTTCATTTTAGCCATCTCTCCCTCTATTTCCTCCATCCTCCTCCTCTCCCCTCCTGACTTGATCCTCCCATCCCAGCCCCCCCCCCCCCCCCCCCCCCGCCGCCGCCCAGTCATAGCTATCTATTCTATTTTTCTTTCCTAACAGGATCTGTCTGTCCCCCGAGTCCCTTACTCTAACCCTAACCTCTGCAGGACTACGGATTCTGGCTTGGTTATCATTGACTTAACAACAGCTGTGTGATTTGTCATTTAGCTTCGATCTTCACTTGAGAAATGCAGTCAGGATGGGCTTTCCCCTCAGGATCCCACAGCCCAGTATCTCTACTGTCAGGGACAAGGATAGAATCTCTAGTTAGTGGAAAAGTACAGACCCCCATAAGACAGGGAACTAGATCATCTTACAGTCAGGTTGCCTAGCAACAGGACATTGAGGCAGAGCCCTTGACCCTTTCACCCTGTAAACATCCTATACAAACATCCTGATAGCTTGCCCCACCTTATGCAGATGACAGCTTCTTGCTCCCCCCACCCTGCAGAAACTATATAAACCCTCTTGGAGAAAAATAAAGTTGCACCTTGATCAGAATCTAGACTTGGTGTGTTTCCTTTGTATCTCCTGTCTCTATCCTTCCGTCCTTAGGGTGGTCGAGAACCCGTTGAAGCCCTGCAGGTGGGGCACTCTACCTCCTTCCTATATGATGATTGCCACTCCATACACTATTCATGGGCTCCGTGAAGGGACCCTCCCTCGTCAGAATCCCAGAATCCTCTATGGTAATTACCACTCTGTACACTATGCAGGTGCTCCAGGAGCCTCAACAATCCAGTCACTGACAGGGGCCGGGATGGTTTTTGTCTCCAGCACTTAGTGAAGGTCCAACTCCTTCAGGAGTTTACAATTCTTTCCTGGATGCAACAGCAAAAGGAGGAGAAGGCTCTCACGTGACTGTGGAAGCACCCAGGACGGGGAATGCCCATTTGTGCAATCAAGCACTACTCTGGCTTCCCTCTCCCCAGCCCCCACCAGTGAGTTGATGAATCAGTGGATTTCCCCTGAGCCCTGCAGAACTTCCTCCCAAACGGTGGGGCTTTACATAGGTTGTGTCTACTCCCTCAGAAAAAGCGACATACAAGTGTTCAGAGCGATTTCTGGAGAGACCAGAGGGAAGTGGTTTGAGAACCATGCAGCCGGCAGGCATGCCAGGGGCGGGCCCAGGCAAAGTACACACACACAGAGGCCCTCTAGAGCAGGGGCTGGGGCGGGCCTGCCCATGTAGGTGACTCACCCTGCTAAGAGGTGGAGACTTAGGCTGGCTTTCCCTTAGGGCACAGAAATGCTGTGGATCTGGACTCTCCTGCCTCTGGTAAGCTTTGGGAAGCCTGGGATGTGGGACGCTGCACTCTGGGGACCACCGCGCGGGAATCTGGATGTGGCTGACATTGAATGACCGCCACCCCCCTTCCCCCCTTCCGTCCAGATATTCAGAAGGGCGGGGGAGCTGCTTTCTTTCCTGGCTCAGTGCTCAGGGCTGATCCCCGGGCACAGACCCTGCAGCTCGAGCGCTTTGCTGGAAAGAGGGTGGGTGGGGAACGGCAGGAGCTTGCTGCTGGTCGAGTCTTGAATGGTTTCTGCGTGGCTGGAGAGGGACTCGGGATGAGAGACATGCCCAGGCAAAGGTGCACTCTGTGCCAGGAGAGGGGTTCCCTCCGAGCCTGTGCGGCACGAGTGGAGTTGACACTTGTAACAGTTCGTTCAACTGGGGAAGTGAGTCAACTTTGGGCGGTGATTTTGACCCAGGAGTTGGGAGGTACCCTTTCTCAAAATAACTTTCAAAAAGTTACTTTGGACTAATAAGCCTCTGAAGAGTTGTTTACGTTCTTGTGACAACACGGAAAAATATAAACCAGTTTTCTTCCCTTCCGGGAATTCAGCTGTGAAACTGTAGGTGGCTGGGCTGATGGGTGTTTTTATGTTGCTGTTTTGTCCGGTTTGTTCCCACACTCTCAAGGCAAGTTTGTCTCTGTAACCCTTGAACTCTGGGTCTCGGCCCGTGTCTGCTGTAGGCACAGGAGTAAGCAAGCTTTCTGCCTCTACAGGAGAGTCCCCTGCTCAGAAATGCTAGCTTGATAATGGCCAATCAAAGGGATTCTACCTTGGGAGGTTCATCCAGTTCTGAGTTTAGACAAAGTGTTTTATTGGGGCCCTGAAATCGGTTTTCACAGCATCAGAGAACGGAGGAAGACAGCCTCTGCTCAGCCTCTGCTCGCTTGTTTTTCGCGACAGGGTTTCTCCGTGTAGTTTTGGTGCCTGTCCTGGATCTCACTCTGTAGACCAGGCTGGCCTCGAACTCACAGAGATCTGCCTGGCTCTGCCTCCCGAGTGGTGGGATTCAAGGCGTGTGCCACCGCCACCAGACTCTCTGCTCGCTTTTACAAGTGGAAATGAAATTCAGAGAACTTAAAGACTGCAGAGATAATACAGCTAGCTCATGACAGCCCTGGGCTTGGACTTAGCCCTAACTCCAAGGCACAAGCAGTTTGTGTATAAACTGATGATATGACAGCTCCATGGCGTGGTTAAGGGGAAGGTTTTTGCTATAGATATGAAAAAGAGAACAGGCAGAGGCATCTGGAACAGTCCAGAGTGTATAGAGAAAGAAGTAAACTGAACATGGCCAGCAGACTGGACATGGCCAGGGCTACCGTAGAGAGGGGAGAGCAGCAGGGTTCAGAGAATAGGGAAAACCCAGCAAGAGAGGCAAGAGCAGAGCACAGAGAGAAAGCCTATTGAGAATAGCAGGGTTACAAGGAGAATGAGCAGCTGCTGGGAGGGAAGCCCATGAGCTGGAGGGAGTTTGCGGTGGGGAGGTGAGAAGGGCTAGAATACTAACATAGACTTTGAAATGGGTAACACGTACTTGTGATACCAGCATGTGCTTTGATATGCTGATAGGTGCCATAGGCAGTCATATGCCCCTTTTGCCAGAGGTAAAAGAAATGACTGTCCAGTGAGTCTTACGAGGCACATTTAGTCAAGCCATTAGTACAAGCAAGCCAGATAATTTGAGGACATGATGCAGATACCCTGTCCTTGGTAGGGTATACATAAAAATTAAATTCCGTGAAGGTCTTTTTCTAGCCACTTTTCAACAGCCTGATTTACTGACTCCTCTCTCTCCCCTAGACCCATATTGTTCTATGTCTGGAAGGGACACAGGAGAACAGAGGTCCACCTGAAAGTTTCTAGTCCCCAGTTTTTCTGAATTCCCAAGTCCAGGGTTGGCGCTGATGGGGACTGTGTATCCTGGGTTAGTAAACTCCAGTCAGTCTACCTTTAAGGGCCCAAGGTCCAAGTGATATACCATCTGTCCCCATCCTCAGTGGCCTTTTTGAGAGATCACACCAGCTACTTTGACAGCAGGTAGGATGGTGATGATGATTGGGTACAGTCCCTTTCAGACAGATTCCAGGGTCTGGGCAGGGATCTTCTGTATCTAAACCAAGTCTCCTGCCTGGAACTTGTGGGTGGGTTCAGAGCCCAGAGAGATCGCAGGATTCCCTTTACAGGTCAATGCTGGTCAACGGCTTGCCAAGCTTCATGTGCTCTCAGTGTGCTATAGATTTTTTTTTAACTATCAACTTTTTCATTACAAATTTTAAGCTAACTTTTTGTTATAGATTTTACAAGTTTTTTTTTAAATTTTTGTTTTTGTTTTAACCACACCCAACGAATTTACAAGTCCTGAGATACAGGAAGTATACACAGTAGTCTTACAAACCTTGAGCTAAAGTTGATACTTTAGCAAACCTTTTAGAGTTAGAAGAGAGGGGAGTGTTTAGAGAGTTAAGTAAAACCAAGAAGAGGAGTATGAGGTAAGGAGCAATGGTCCCTACTGGGAATAGTTTACTTTTTAGCTGTTTTAAAGCATGGAATGTCTTTTACTGTGTTGTTCTGTTTTGTTGTCCTCCCAGGCACAAAGACAGGTGTCCCCATCTGACTCAAGACAGAGATTGTGTAGGAAACTTTTAAACAATCATTCTTGGGCCTGGAGAGGAAGGCCATATCCCAACTCCAGAGCTGGATTTTTTTTTTTTAAATAAAGCAGAATAGCATGTGACAATATTTAAATATTATCCATACACAGAAGACATCTCAACCTCTGTAAAACTGGATTTAGTGACCAGAGGGAGAGATTAGAGCAGGGAGCAGAGAAGGCTCAGAGATAAGAAATTTATGAGAATGGAGAAACTTTACAGATAAGAGATTTGGGGATCGTTTATTTGTGTAGGAACAGAAGTTGTCACACTGTGTGAGAATTTGGAAATCTAGTGGGCCATCTTTGGCCATTGAGTTGTACTGAGGCCAAGCCATTTGCAGTAAGACAGTGAAGCTTAATGAGATCTCTGGGTCCGAGGAAGAAAAGACATTAGAGAAGACGGTGGCAGGGGGTGGGGGTGGGGGGAATATTCTGAATGGGAAGAGTCCATGGCTAGAGACAAGAACAGGCTCCAAGAGCAAAATGAACTGAGAGAGGGAGAGGGAAAAAGAGAGGGAGAGAGAGAGAGAGAGAGAGAGAGAGAGAGGGAGAGAGAGAGAGAGAGAGAGAGAGAGAGAGAGAGAGAGAGAGAGAGAGAGAGAGCGAGCGCAGGAAAGGAGACGTTGTTTAGAAGCACAGTGAACAGAAGGTGGGATGGGAAAGGCTTAGGGAAACTCCACCAGAGGGAAGATTTCAGTATCTTAGAGGCCCAGGAGAGCATAGAAAAAAGCCTGATGTACCTGCAGGCCTCAAGTAGCAGGCTCCAGTGAGCCAACGAGAAGGACAGAGACAGAGTAGGAAGCTCCAGAGGGAGATGAGGAGAGACAAATAGTTAGCCATGGTTGGAGACAGACTTAGCTCTAGGAGGGAGCTGAGAGACAGAGCTAGCAAGGAGGCAGCCAGGATTAGAGTGAGGGGATGGACAAGAGAGACAGAGTAAGCTCCAGGAGGGAGCTGAGACCATGTCGGGAGGGAGAGCAAGGATGGGAGAGAACACGAAGTGTCCTGGTGACAAGAATTTCAAGCCAGGGCATCCCCAAGTGGACCGAGAGATTTGTCAGGGAGAAATGTCCAAAGTCACAAAGGAGAGGCATCCTATGTGATGTGTTCCCAACAGGAGAGAGAAGCTGCCTGACACACCAGCGTGACTTTTGTAACATAGTAAGCTCTAGGAGCTGACAGAGACAGACCGGGGAGCTCCAAGGAGAGAGCAGGTGGGGGGGCGGGAAGAAGCAGCTGAAGAGGGGTGGTGGGCATCAGGAGCCGGAAGAAACAATGTTCCATACCTTTGGAGAGTCAAGACAGTAGCTTGGTTTGGTTCAGAGAGGCTAGGCACCTTGGAAAGGGGTCTCTGTGTACCACTCCTGGATGTTGGGCAACAGCTGTGTAAGTGATGATATGACTGATCCATAGTTATGGTTGAGGGGAAGATTTTTTTAATTGTAGATATGAGAGAAAGAACAACCAGAGGTATCTGAAACAGTCAAGAGCAGAGAGAAAGAAGCAGACTGGGCATGGTCGTCAGTCTGGACATGGCCAGAGCTATTTGAAAGAAAGGGATAGAATAGCGGGGATAGAGAATAGAGAAAATATAGTGAGAGAAGCAGAAGCAGAGATGGGGGAGGGGCACATAGCTAGAATAGCAGGGCTATAAGGAGAAGAGTAGCTGTGGGGAGGGAAGCCCATGAGCTGGAGGGAGGTTAGGGTAGGGGAGGAGATGAGAGGGGCTAGGATGCTACCATGGTACTGGTGACACCAGCGTGTGCTGGGTTAGACTTCCAGGCCTTCTGTCAACAGGAAGGGAAACTGACTCCTTTTGGCTGCCTTTTAATCTAACTGCCAGAAATCCTTCTATAGTCCAGGTTGAGCTCATTTCTGGATATTTGTACTGCCTTTTGGAGTTTGAGGAATTGGAGGCTCTTTTGGACTACACAGTTTGCTGGTTGCATCTGATATCCAGAGTATACCAAGAGTAGAATGGCAAAGGCTCATATACTTGGCACTTGTGAAGGAGTGAAAAAAAAATCCCTTTGGTTCTTTAAGAAGTCATGTATAGTATTTGGCCTTTAGAAATGCCTTTAGGGAGTTTTAAGATTCTCCTCGGTGTAAATATCCTTGTCATCAGTCCATCAGTGTGGGTGGCTTGGAAACACTCTCAGCTCTTCGCAGTATGCCAAAGGCCTGGAGCTAATGCTCAAATTAGGTAGAGCTGTGTCTTTATCATAGATGTGTGTGCCTCAAGGACCCAAGAAACAGCCTTCGTAAAAGCATGCACACAATACATGTATGCTTATGTGAATTTTTACACACACATTAGTACATCAACG